TTTATTTCTTAGAGAACTTCGTTTTTAGCTCATATTGTGTATATTCATAGGAAGTACCAATATATATAAGGCACTTCAAAATACATATGTATATATAATATATTCTATAGTTGGAATAATTTAAAAAATACTATTTTTTTCTGATTTCAACTTAGGTAAAAAGTTTCGGTTGCAGCCTTCAATTAAACAGAGAATCCTTGCAGCCTGCTACACCCTGTGTTAAAAGTTTTGTAAGCTCGAATATTAACCACTTTCAAACGAAGCTTTTAAGCTCGACAGGTTCCGTTATTCAATTTAAGCTTTTGCAGTGTTGTAAAAGGGATTTTGATATTGTATTTCACGTGTTTAGTAAGCTTTTATTGAAACTGCATTTATCCAAGGATATTATAAAATATATATCGCGAACTATTATTCTATGGCCACTAAACGGACAATCAATTTGATAATGAACTTTATTTGTTATTCAAATTTCGTAACATATTCATGGCGCCTTTAAAATGGAAGAAATGCAAGAAGATATGAAAGAAATATGCAGCACGACCTCGCGTCCGCCTGCTCAGCGTCAGCCACATCAAACATTGTCCACAGTCGCCGACTCGGAAAGTTTTTCATAAGAAGCACCAATATATAGATATATCTATGTATACATATTTAACACATATGTGTAGACGCGTCCCGACTCATTTAAAGCGGCATTCGCTATTTCCCCCAGAATCGAGTCAGTTTCACTTTAAATTCTGTGAGCGCTTCGTTTTCAAATTATTCAAACTCATGAGGCGCACGGGAAGGGCGACCGAGTGTCATAAAAACAAATATTTCGGGTAGCTCCCGACGAGGGCAGCGACCATCTATGACAATCTACTTACAAGTCACATAAAATCAATCAGAATTGTGAAGCGCAGCGGATGCACATGTGTGTGTGTGTGTATGCAAGCGCCTTATAGAGGGGAAGAGAGAGAGAGTGTGTGTGTGTGTGTAAGTGTGGGGAATGCCTGGAGCAATTAGTGACGCTCGATATAAGTAAACAGATGTTAATTTCATGGCCATTCGTAAATCAAGCTCCAGACACTCTACTAGCACTAGAGTAAGAGCATACAGCAAGTCGAACAAGCAAACATTCAAGTGGATTTTACATGCTCCTATTGAGTACCATAAAATCAACACATTGAACACCTAAGGAATTTCAACTACTCGAGACACCCACAAGCGGTTGGAGGCGAAACTTGAGCTGCAGTCTGCCAAGGTTCGAGCTCAATAAGAATTTAGTGCATTGAGCTAACCATTAAATATAGCTTATTTCTGATTGCTGCAATTACAAAAGATATTGACGCATTGCACAAGTTTTGCACGACTGATGATTTATTATTAATTATTTTCTCGAAATTCCACAAAATGCCCACAATGCACACAATGCTGTCATAGTCGGGTAACAATGACATATAGAGGGAGAGTAGTGCATAATGTGGAAATTCTAATTAGGTTAAATAAATAA